TTCAAAATTTTTTTTCACCTTGAAAACATACTTCACTAAATTTTTATATCTCATTTGTTATGGTGTGACGTTTAGATACCTCAGGGAATGTTTTGCGAAAATATGGCATCTGTTGAAATTCCAGCTAAATTACCTAGCAGTTTTGAAGCTACATTTGAATATATCGATTCACATGCAAAAGCTATTCACAGTTTCGACGTACGTATCTTTATCTAATTATGAAAAAACATTTTTAATATATTTTAGTTCTCTGCTTGTTTGGAATTTTCATAGATTGTTTATATTGCTTTTTTAATATTATTCTTTTAATTATTTTTAGATGTTTTATGACGGTATCGAGCGCATCGTATCATTTCATTTAAATCATGCCCCGGATTACGATATACCATTTTTGGGAAATGCTACATTACCAAAAACCATATCCGCATTCAATATAATCCAAGATTTCAAATATGGTTCGATTCGTTTTCTTTTTGGCTAGATTCGACTAGTTATAAAAAAAAGTGGCTGGTTTCTTTCCATTAATTGAGTTTCTCAGATTCTGAAGTGTTGTATGCAGGAAAGGATTCAAAAATTGAGTTTCTCAGATTCTGAAGTGTTGTATGCAGGAAAGGATTCAAAAATTGAGTTTCTCAGATTCTGAAGTGTTGTATGCAGGAAAGGATTCAAAAATCTACTGCTTTTTTTCTGTTGGAGCACAGTTTCATCTAGAAAGTTTTAAATAATTAATTTTAAATGTTCTCGATTTTTTCAAGGTATTAAATATTATTTCAAAATATGTGCATAAGGTGCCAGCGTTTCTTAATCAAATTAAGGGTCAGTATAGGTGTATATATTATTGAATTATCGAAATATTTTGAGTTAAGTATTTTCCTTCTCATGCTATATTCATTTTTAGCCATCTGTTTGGCAATTTTAAATTCCACTATAATAAAATAACTTTGCTCTGGCTTCAAACCAAAAAAGGCATGATGAATTTCCGAAATTTGTCTGTTTTTAAAATTTCTCTCACACAAAGGAAAAAATGTTCTTAGAAAGGTGGTAATCCAATGGAGCTAGATTTGAGAAATATGCCACATGCAGAAAAACTTCAAATCCAAAAGTGATTTTCTTCGTTGAGATTGCCACTAGTGGGCGAGTGTTCTCTTGCTCAAAAGAATTATTTGCCAAATTTTTTGCCTTTTGCCTTAAATGGATTCATATTTGCCATTAAACTTTGAACTTTGTGATCTTAACGTTCAGTAGCAGCTTATAATATAAAAAGCCTTTGCCATGCTATCGAGAAGAGCGAAAAAAAATTAATTAGTTTTACCTTTGGTATCCAAGTTCAACTTATAATTTTCGACACTGATTATCGTGGTGAATCCACATAAAGTCGGTAGATTTTTGCACATTTTGTGGAAAAAATTTTGCTGAATTTAAAATAAAATTTTTTGCAAACACAAGATTTTTAAAATTATGTCGAAGTTATACCAAGGTTTTAGGTTTGCAATATATTTTGAATGGTGATGACGAATTATGTATTCTTGTTTCTGCGATAAATCCAGATTTTGGCGTTGTTCGACTGCTCGATAAGGAAACAAAGCTCATCGATTTGAAGTCTGCTTCAGAATTATTTTTTAACACTTCAGAGTCGAAATTTTATTATGGGGGAAAAGTAAGTATTTTTTTATTGTAAAGAAATTTCTAATGTTGGAATAAGATAAAAGAAGAAATGAATTGTTTATTTATAATTAAACTGTTTAGTTGATGCATTATGGGGATCTGGGCAAGGCGGATATTTTATATAATCTTTCAGCGTCTTTCAAACGAAGGCATTACCTTAAATGTATATGTGTCAAAATATTACCATAGTGAATCAAAGCAATATAGTGTTGTTGAGTCGCTCTATACTGATGCACCTTGGGTAACTGACTTAACTGCTGCGCCATTCTTACATTCTGTTATACAATATCACAAGGTATCGCATATTTTTGTTAAAACCTGTTCATATTTAATTGTTTTTCACTTCTTCTTCTAACAGCTCTCACCATTACTGGTTAGACTGGCTTCAACGGCTAAGATGCTTCCAAGGGGCGCAATGCAATCGTCGACATTAATAGAAGCCATTCCTTTTTTCATCGTCTAAATCTATATATTGCTGGTCCACCTATTCAAAATCTTTTCTGATCAGTCCAGGTCTTGATTGGCCTACCACACCATCCATCACAGGGTTCAGCAAGTAACGAAATATATGCCAACTCTTGTGGTGGATTATAAGGAACTTGTCCTAACTAGCGAAGGCGACACTCTGTGATAGTATTATTAATGGTATTTGAACGAAGATGGAATGAACCATCATGTGATATCCACTCGATAGAACCATCATGTGATATCCACCCATAAAACAGACAAGTCAAAGAAAGATAATTTCTTAATATTCTTCACTCTCATTGGCCATGTCTCATAGCAACGAATCAAGGCCATATAGATGCGGACTTCGCTTTTATGGCTTTTCACAACGGCTCCCTAAAGGTTCCTTCAACCAGAAGAATGCATTTCTAGTTGCATTGATCCGGGTTGTAATTTCGTCTTTTGCCTGGCAATTTGGTGTTAGAATGGACCCAAAGGTATCAAAAATCGGGCACTTCCTCAACCGGCAATGAATTTTTAAAAAGAAGCATTTTATTAGCATCTTATGCATAAGATGAAAAGACTTTCGTTCTATTCACATTGATCCGGAGTCCGATCCTTGCTACAATTGACACGTTATTTAGATTATTTGCATTTCGTCATAACTGTCAAAAGAACTACATCATCAGCGTATTCAAGATTTGTGATACGATGCTCTAGATTGATTTGAGCGGGATATCGTGTTTTCAACGTGGTATGGCCGTAAGCGCTAATACTGAGGTTCGAATCCCCGCAGGAGTAACCTGTACAAAAATCCAGATGATACTGGCGATTCATCTGTATTTCTATCCCCAAGGGACTCCCTGGCATATTGCCCAATGCGACAAGCCACTGGAGCGAGTTTAACCAGTAATGGTGAGGACTCTTTAAAAAAAAAACCTCTTGAGTGCCGATGTCCATTCATTTGATAGAGCGGTGTCCATTATCCAGTCTATCGCATAGTTGAATATTGTAGGCGAAAAGAAATAATCTTTATATAAGTTCTTATTTCTTATTTATCAGTTCCCCATATACACTGACCTTGCGCCGGCGTACGCTCATAAAATGCCTTTATGAGTCGAATCATCTTCTCTGGAACACCGTCGCGTTCCATCACTCTCCAAAGCGCTGCTCTATCAATTGAATCAAAGGCAGCCGTAAAGTCGATGAAATACGTGACGGTGAGTTGCAAATATTTGAAGCGATGTTTCAACACTTGTTAATTTGTTATCTGGTTCGCACAACCTCGCCCCGGTCTGAATCCAGCTTGATTTGGGCGCATCCTGCTATTCCATACTTTCATAAGTCTATTGAGTAAAAGAGAAGCAAAAATTTTCGCTAAGAATTCTAATAAAGTGATTCACCGATAATTGTCGCAGTATGTACTGTCACCTTTCTTAAGGATTGGGAGAGAATTGCTTTTCTTCAATATGTAGTATCTGGTAACATTTCTTTATTCCATACTAGAGACTACATTTGTTTAAGGTACTTTATGAAGGACGATGGACAGCATTTGAAGGGTTTTGAACAATCCAAAGACCATCTTCTTATCCTTATTGTCCTTAAGCTTATAGATAACGGAGTTTATTTCTTCTTCATTTGGAGGTTCGCAATTGCAAGCGTTAGTTCGGCGAACCTCCAACTATTAGTTGTATCAGATGCAACAGATGGCGTTTCATGGTTAAATTTGGCCTCAAAGAATTCTTTCCATCTTATGAGGGGTCTTTAATACTCTTGATCGGCACGCTATTGCTATCCCTTACCATTTCACTGATCGTTGTAGCTCTAGTCATTGTTGCTTTATGAAGAAAGCGGAATAGCTTCCTATTATCGCCTTATCGAGCCGCCGTCTCCATTTTCAAGACTATCACTCCAATAGTGATTTTCCGCCGTGCTGCTTTCGTTGCAAATCTTCGAAGCATTCTGAAAGAATGGATCACCTGACATTCGTGCTTTTGCAGCTTTTTTAGACAGTTGCTTCCGATACCCAACTGGGCACTTCCTACTAGTATGCCTAGCGTGGAAATGGCTGACTTTCGAAGACATTCCTTTAATTTGGATCAGTATTCATTTGCCGTTCCAGAAAAGTCATTGCTATTTATATCCTCAATAATTCAGTTTGAAATGCGCTCACTCTCCGAATTTTTTAGTTTGAGATGAGATAATTGAAAGATCTTGGGGGATGCTGTTTTCTGCGAGTTGTGGATTTTATGTTGATCTTGGCTTGAACCATAATATAGTCAGATCTATTGAAGTTTCACTGGTTATATATATATATATGTATGAAAACAAATTATACGATTTTAGTTTTATGGTTTTGTAATTAATTTTGAGTATTTAGGCTTTTTTTATTGTATTGCATTTGTTTTTAGAATGAATCAGGCATAGATATTTCAAAAACAGTGATTCGTCTTCATTCGTTTAAAAATACAACTGCAACAGGGCCAAGATGGTCAAAAATTTCTTTATATCCTTGTTTTCGTCTTGCAGAAGAAAATTATCTTTATGTCACTATCGGAAACAGTGAGTACAGTATTATTTCAGATGAATCGCTGAAAAATTTTTATTTACATTTTATTAAACTTGTAATGATCTTTTGATGGCTCTACATGGTTTTTACTCCCATTCTTTCAGTCTCTTTGCCAACAATTCAAAATATTGGCTATTCATCGGTGGAAAATGCATTGGCGGAAAAAATTGCACATATTGCTGGTGTATCTATTTTGCGTATTGGCAATATTTTTGTAAGTTTATGGCAGAAGTCAATTTTTTTATCAACTCATGTTTGAAGAATTTTCACGCATTTTTGTTTTATGATAGAATTTATATTCTAGTTAAAGCAAATTCAAGACAACGTCATAGCCTTTTTTGTGATCAGCGAAGGTTCGGGGAAAGCACCAGCCAATACTAAAAATCGATTGGTTAGTTCATGCGTTTCATGCTTTAAAAAAATTATAGATTCTTTCTCGTTTTTTATAACATTATAAATCTTTATTGATTGCAGTTTTAGGTAGCATTTACTGATTTTTAAAAGATCGGTAAATTTTAAAAAAATCGAAAATTGAATTTCAAAAGCAAAAGAAAAGCAAGGATAAAAAAAATCTATTTTCCAGAAAATTTTTTTTTCAAGCTTTTCTGTCTGATAATTTAAAATAAAGAACCCCAATTTTTTTGTTAATTTTTTTAAAATGCATTTATTGAGAGGGTTGAAGCAAATTCCTTTTATAACTTTCCATGATTTTCATTTAGAATGAAACATCTGCTTTGGAGGCACGAGATTTGTTCAATTCCACGTTGAATGAAAAAGACATTAATTTCACTGTTGTTGGCGCTGATTTTAAAAAAAGGGTACTTAATGCCATATATACGAAAGAATTTTTAAGAATCTTTAAGAGAAGAATTTTTAAATAATATTAAATAAACGTCAAATTTTTAACCCAATGGATACATTCAATTTTTCAGAATTATCTGCATTATTTAAATAATTTTTTCACTTTTAAAGGCAGAAATTAAGAGTTCATTTTCAGGAAATGCAAATTCTTAAATTGAGCTTGGGAGTCATACCATCGAAATTTGCACCTTTGCCCCCTCCGATCCCTACTTTTACTGGTTATAGCGGTGGATCCATGTTTGTTCTCGGTTTCTTCATGCTCCTAATCGGAATTACTACTGGCATTGGTGTTATGTTTTTTATATGGAGGCGTCAACGTCTATCCGGTCTTGCTTACCAAGTTTTTGAGTAATTTGAATTATTTAGTGTTAGATTTCTTTTTCTTTAAATGTTTCGTTGGAAAAAATTATTATTATTGTGCGGTGGAAAAATATGTTATATGGGATTTCTTGTTTTATATTTTTATACTTTTCTTATTCTAAGTTTTCGTCAGCATTTACTTCGAGGTCAATTGTAGTTAATTTATTTTTTAAGGCTGTATCATTTATGAAGTAAACTGCATTCATAAATAATGATTTATATTGGATAAATGTGACAAAAAAAGCCATTATATTTTTCGTCATTATTTTTCCCGCTATCTTTCTTTTGCATTATTTGTTTCACTTATATCTTTTCAACTTATTTCTTAATTTTTGGTTTTATATATTTCTGTCTTCATTGTTCTTGGAATTCTAAAAATTTTCGTTATTTCTCATTTTTCTCGGTTTCCCACATTTCTGTTCCGAGCCATGGTTCTTGTATGTATAAAAAATAGAACTGTGACGAAGATGCATCAACCAATTCATCTTTTTGATTATTTTTTATCCATTATTATTGATACTTTTTTTTGAAATAAAATTATTAATTTTGATTATATATTTTGCTATTTGTTATTTTCATACTAAATTTATTTCACCAAATTTTTTCAGCGAGCAGAACAAATTTTATTCACAAGTAACTTTTCCCCGTAAACTTTGTTGGGCAGATTTTAAGCACGCGAAAAATGTTTTGTTTAGGTTAATTTGTTTATTTTACATTATATAGTTTAATTCATTTAATCATGCATTAAAATACATAAATAGATAGAAATCTGTGTTTTTTTATTTCACGAATTTAACCTATATTTGTCATACAAGAAAATAGGTGAATAGAGAATTTCGTGATGTCATCAAGAAAAATGGTGTCAGCTAGTGAACGAGCTTTATGCTATGTTGAGAAGTCCTCGAGGATTCAATTACAGGATTTGCGTGATAACCCTGGTGCACGTACACGAGTAAGGAATGAATTATTAGCTAAAATGATTTACGAAAATTTGAAGATTATTGGTAGGATCGTTTAAATTACATGATAAATTAAATTGTTGAGAATCTTAATAAGTTAGAGGGAATTATGAGAGGATGATGGAATTTGAAATAAAAATGGGAAGAAAAGTTAGTGTCCCGTTGAGTACTTGAAAACTTTTAGAGTCGTCAGTTGAAAGCTTCAATGAATCAGGCTGGACATACTATTGGCCAATTACAGCATGCAGCTAAACCACCGATTGGTTGGATCTGGGGAGATTTTTTCAAGCCATGGTACCGATTATTTCCTTCTGAATATTCTTTCAACGGCGATATTAAGTAAGTTGCAGATTCTTATTTGTTTCATAGATTCAAAATTTCTGTTTTTTAAATTTGATTCATTTGATGATTCCTTTCCTTCAGTTGGGTCGATTTTAAACACAATCGTAAAATCATTAAACATCAAATCGTTGAAAATTGGTTTTTGGCGCGATGAAGGCTTTTCTTTTTGTTTAAATTATTTTTTTGCGATTCTTATTTCTAGTTTACGTCGTGAATATCCGCCAATTTCACTGATTGAATTACAACGGCTAATTGATTTGGGGTGGCTAGATCCAACTCGTTTAATTGATATCACTGCATTGTGTAATACTCAACAATATCACTGTAAACCTTCACTGCGACAATTCGGTGTGCAGCTGACTGATGAGGTTGATCATAAATTCTCCAAAATTCTGAATTTGTTTTTTATTTTAAGAGATTGGAGGTAGCGATTAAGGGGGTCATATGACTTTGTTTAACTCAAGTTCAGTCACCGTAACTTCCGTCGCTTCCCTTTGACCAAAGCAAACCTTAAAAATTATTGAAAGTTAAATTCATGTGGTGCTTCAATCCAGTTTTGCCTCTACTTTCAAGTAACTCTGCGAAGAAAAGGTTTCACTCTTTTCATTTTGAATATTTTTGAACTTTCTATCCTTTCTATTGTAGTTAACTCTCTGGAGATGAGTGTCTTAATAGCGAGAGGTCAGAAATGTTAGATGAAAGGGGTCTTTATAAAGCATTTATCTATTTTTTTAAAACTTTTTCTAATAATTTTAGTTGTTGCAGGGTACTGATTGTTTTGCCACACCTATCAATTTAGAAGTGCAGTGGGCATCAGAACCAGCAATAGCAGCTATAGAGAGGGTAGGAGGGCGAATACGCACTGCATACTACGACTTTGGATCTTTAGAAGCTGCCGTTGACCCTGAGAAATGGTTTCTTGCAGGTACAATTATAAAAGAATTATTATAAATTAAGGAGTTATTATAATTATTATTTAAACTTTACGAATACGATTAAAATACAAACTCTTACAATATCGATCAGTGGGGCTATAATTTGACTTAGAATTATTTCACTTATATTCTTTTAATTCTTTTCTGTTAATTTCATTAATTTTCTTTTATTTTAATTGTAAATTATTGTAAATAAGCTCCACATTATAGGACGGCCAATACCAAGAAGGAAAGGACCTCCTGAAAGTCTTCTACCTTATTATTCAAATGCTAGAAATCGTGGTTATTTAGCAGAAGCCTCAGATCTAAAACAAGCAGAAGAAGATCTCTCCAATTTAATGGGATACGAAAGAAAAGAAGTACAGAGTGAATGGGAGGAGAAAAGACCTGACCAATTGTTTATTGGTATTGAATCTGGATCATTAATCAGTCTGAAAGATAAAAAAGTCTTCTTGCCCACGCATCGCGCTCTTCAAAATTATTATGGCCTAGGTGAGAACCCTGATGATTTTCGTTCTGATCATTCATTTGCATTCGAATTCAAATGATTCTATTCTGAATAAAAATGTCCTCGTTATTCGCTGCAACAGTTCTTTACCTTTATTTCTTTGAAAGATATCAAAGAAAGGGTAAAAAATAATTTTTCATGGATTTAATGAGCTGATTTTTTGTATTTTTAAAATCATTAGGAAGATCATGGTTGAAAGACTTGTTACTTTGACAGATTATAAGTTCGATCGTTACTCCTTGGGGAGTAAGTTTCGCAGTTTGAAATGAAATATTAGTAATATTAGTCCACATCGACTTCAACCGCGCTAGAAGTGGCAAATACTGTTAAAAGAAGGAAATTATCAGTTTATTTCTGGAATATATCATGAAAATAATTTGTATGTGAAATGATCAGATTCTTTTCATTTGATGTTTACTTTTCATTAGCGATCAGCCCATACAACTCAATTCCGATTTACAATAGCGATAAGAGTTGATAAAAACCAAAAGAGTTGCACATCGTTAATACGAATCAAGAATCAATTTTGCATATTCATAATTTTATAACTGTTAAATTCTAAATTCATCAATATTATTATATACTATACTAGATGAAAATACATAAGTAACTGCACCATAATGCAAGAAATTTATTTAGGCTTGAGAATGGAAATTCGAAATTTCGAAACAATATTTGGATCAGTTCGAAACATAATATTTGGATCAACTATTGAATTATAATTCAATCATTTTTATTAAAAATTTTATGCAAATGCAATTTGATGAGAATCGAGTTTTCTGCGAAAGTTGTTTTATTTAAGAGAAAAGAAAGAAAAGATTGAAATATAATTCCAAAACATTTTCATTATGCCAAAAAAGGCTAAGCATTCAATTGCTGATTGGTTTTAAAGTAAAATATAGGGGAGTAATATGGCTGAATGTAAGCTGCTTAGGTCAAAGTGCTTGTTGACATAAATCAAATCCAGGCGGTTTTGAAATTCCGCATGTACTCCTGACGCCAACTGATTTTTTGGCGTCATCCTAATAGCCAGAGAAACTTAGATTATATGTTAAATAATTCTGAAAAGTATTAAATAATCTATTAAATAATATAGATTTCTTTTTCAGCTATTAATCATGGAAAAATTTTCGTGTGAAACGATTTGCCAACATATTAACAATAAAAGATAAGCAATATGCATGATAAGAAATTTTTAATCACATTATTATATGGTTAAATACGATTTTTAACGATTATAGTTTCATTTATATTTTTTTTCTCCTTTTGCGCTTCTTTAAATTCTTTTGTAATACCTTTACTAATGTGTTCAATTTGAAATATAAATTGTCGTAGCTCTCTTCACCATTTAGTTTTTTTTCAGGTTAAGAAGAATGCTTCATGTCGTTGCCTTCATAACTTTGGTTTCAATGGTGCTTGCAGGTTCCATTCCTTCAATAAAATCACTGGAATCATTAATTGATAGATGCAGTTTATGTGAACAAATGGCAAATGATATTAAACAAAAGTATGACGATTCATTTGATAATGTTGGCGCAGAGGAAATTGCTGTAAGCTTTATGAATTTAACAAACATTATAAATATATGAAAGAATAATACGTTTGCAAATTTAATGATTTTTAATATCAGGACATCAGAAAACTAAAAATTTTCCTCTTTACGGTTGCATGCAGAAGGACAAATCTTTGCTTCGGATGCAAAAAATCAAAAAATTTTCAAAAATTTTCAAATTTTCAAAAAAAAATCATTAAATTTAACAGTTGAGAAGCTGGTTTTTTTCCATACTTTCTGTATGTTTTCAGGAAGATTTACGACAAGAATGTGCGAAACTTATAGAATCGCATTTTCTTGAACAAATTTGTGAGGTGACTGTTACAAGCTTAGCTTCGCCGTTCCTGAAAAAATTAAAAGAAGGTGAAAGTACTCATAATATTTGCGTATTTGCAAGATTCTGTCGCGATTAAAATTACGCAAAAATAATTCTTAAATGCTACAGGAAAAGATGGATTTAATCAAGGATTTTCAGCTTGGTTCAATTCCAAATTTTTCATTTTAATCCAGTTTCAGTAAAACATTATTCCATAAGTTTTAAAAATTCTGCTTATTATATTTAAGTTCGCTATGTTGAGTTTGCCGAACTTTTCATAATTTTTCACCGAATATAATTTCTATATAATGATTCGAATAAATTTCTTAAAAGTTGAACAAAGTATGATATATTTACTATATTATTCTTCTTACGATTAAACTTATAAAAATAAGACTTTTTTATTGAAATCCTCTTCGCTTGCGATTTACAGCTAGTGGAGTATAACAATAAATCATTACCAGAAATAATGAGCGCTAACCACCTATTCACTTTAATTCACTTTAATCATGCAAGATATAATATAATATAATGAACTAAAACTGATAGATGAAAGTATTTTCAGCTTTGATGACAATTTTTTCCAAAAAATTATGGATCTTCATAGCACTTAAAAAAATTTATCAAATTTTGTTTGTTGAAAAAAAGTGAAATTTGCCCTGAAAAAAAAATATATATAAAATAAAAACTGATAGAACTGATAGATCGTATAAAAACGAATTTCGTTAATAATATAATAAATTGCCAGGAAATTTTTGAACAATCAACAAAAATCTAAAAATTCCACTGATCGCAAAATCACAAAATTTAAAGCAAGAAAGAGGAAAAGTATTCAGAGTATTCAAAAGAAAAACTGAGGAGAGCGAAAAGCCATATCTAATTTCAATTACTTTAAGGCATTTTTCAAGGCATTTGAGCAAAATGAAATAACAAATTAATTAACTGAAAAATATCTAAATAAATAAAGTGAATCTTCTTCACGATCTAAAAAACAAACTAATACAAAAGGCAAAAAACAGCACAAAAAATGAGATGAACAGGATAAATAAAGTTTTATATGAAATAAATAAATCAGATGGTGCTGATAAAGAGTTGGCAAAAATTTTATAATTTTAACCGTATAGATTATATATTATAATAATAATTAATAATATAATAATAATTAATAATATAATAACAATAATAATCGTAATGAATTTGACCACGTCTTCAGCCAGTATATGAAATTTCAAGCTATTCTGTTCGAAACTCAGTTAACGAAAATGAACCGTCAACTCGAAAATCGAAATCGAAAGCGTGGAATTTTATAGATAACAACTAACTAAATTTCACATGCCGTAAACAGCAGTAAACAAGTGAACCTTCGCAAGCAAAAACCCACCTTGAATTGAATGCGTTGGTTCTTTTGTGCCAAAAAAAGTATCGTCAGAGAGATTATGAAAATAATAAGCTTGAAACCATCGTAGATACGACGTTGCACCAACGATACAAATGCAAAAATGAGAAAATACAGCCATTTTATGAAAATCCCAACTTAAGATGAAAATGTCATTTAATGAGAATTGGAAACTAGAATTGAATGCGATAATTTATTATAATAATTATAATTTAAGCTTGTAGCATGTTGAGGTAAACTCGCTTATTCACGCGAATAAATTGTCACTTGTGACCATATTAGATAAAAAGAATATCAATTTATGATAAGAAGAGGAACAGAAGTTCTAACTTTCTTCTTTTTCTAACGGCTCTCACCATTACCAATTACGCTGCTTCTTCTGGCTACAATGATAAGACGTTTCCAGCTGTGCGATCTGATGCCATCGTCGACAGTAATAGAAACCATTTTTTTTCCCATCGTCTAAGTCCATATTGCTATTCCATCTATACGTTTAAAATCTTTCTTGATCGTGTCACTCCAGGTCTTGGTTGGCACCACGCCATCCATCACAGGTTTAGCAAGGTTTAGCAAGTAAAAAATGTGTCAACTCTCTTGTGGCGGACGACGAGGAACTTGTCCTAACCAGCGAAGGCGATATTACCACTCTGTGATAGTACCATTAGTAGTATTTGAACGAAGGTGGGTGCGGTCATATGATATTTTATCCACTCGATAGACCCGTAAAATAAGAGCAAATACTGACCTTTGATGAGCTGTTGTGCCCTAAAAGTGTTCCATTCACCATTCAACAAAAAAAAACTATATATTTAATAAACTATATATATTTAATAAACTACTCTTATTGCCATAACTAAGTGCTTATTTACTATTGGTTATCATTGAATCGGATAAGCTTTTTTTCCCTTTTCTTCTTTCTTAAAATTTTTTATCATTAAATTTTTTTTCTTTCTAAATCTATTTTATTTATCTCTATTTCTATCTCTTGACAGGAGTGAACCTGTCATAACGTCAAAAATCCGGGTGGCTGCTGTGGACTCACCTATATCTTTATCCCCCAAGTGACTCTATGGCTTAAAGAAAGATTATTTATTCTTTTATTTATTTATTTATTTAAATTATTTAAATTATTCCTCTTTAACAAAAAATTCATTTCTTTCAATTCGATAATTAATATTTTTATAGTTATCAAAATCTTCCTTCGTTGTGGTGAAACATCACTATATATTTCGCGAATAAAATTTGGTAACATTGAACTCGCAGAAAAAGACCGTAGTACCTCAAAATATTTCCACTGTTGATCGCCTAAACAATGAAAATTTTTTGCAGTTTCACTATTCTCTCTAAGTTTCCTAAAATTAATCAGAAGCATTTAGAATATTCCTTAAAATTGATCCAATTAATTAAAATTCTTCTAAAATTAATGATTCATTCAGAGTGGCTGCTGAGGACACACCTGTATCTTTATCCCCAAGGGTCAGGTCTCTATGGTAAAAGAGTCAGGTCTCTTGACGAGGGACTCTGTGGTGAAAGGTCAGGTCTCTTGACGAGAGGTGACGTCCGCGTCTCCCGACGCGCATGCTACTTCTGACCCGGTGGTACATGCGATGAATATACAATCCGCGCGCTATAGTAATAATAATAATAAGTAATAATAAAAGGTCCAAGGCGCAAGCATAGAATTTGCTCGTGAACAGCACTCAAAAGATCCGAGAAGGGAGGCGGGAACCTATCCGTTAGTACTTTGTAAACGCGGTGTTGTTGTTGGTTATAGTTGCTTGGAACGTCAGAACGCTTGTGGATATTATGCAAACCAAGTGATCATTATCTACCCCCTCTCCAAATACCGCGTGGATGTGGCTTGTTTGTCGGAAGTCCGTCTTCCTCATGTCGGCTCCCGAGTAATTATTAAACCTGGTTCTGAGTAAAGATATTGGCTATATCACAGTGGTGTCTCGGATAACTTGAGGCGAAATGGCGTAGCGATTTTTTATATCGGAAAAGCTTCGCTCTGATTTAATGAAACCAGTAAATGACCGTATGGCCTACGCAGGTTTCAAGGGAATGTTCTGCAATATTTCAGTAATCAGTGTATATATACTCTAACCATATGCGCAGATGATGACCGCGATAAGGATAAGCACTATGCGGAACTTTTATTATTAACAACATCCCTACCGAGAGGTAACATGGTCATACTCGGGGGAGAGTGGAATGCGCACTAGGTCATAATGCCGCTGCGATGATTTCAACAATTGGCAAATATGGATCAGAGAGCGGTGCATCAATGGGGAACGCCTTCTTCGTTATGCCGAAGAGTATGAACTTTTTATTACTAATAGTTGCTTCTGGCATTGGAGGAAACATTTATTCGCATGGAACTAATGTTCAAGTCAGATTGATTGCATATTGGTCAGCCACCGCTGGAAGAGTTATGTACTTGATAGTCGTTCTTATCAAGGCGCTGAAACTGGTAATCACCATGGATCAGATCACGTTATGGTCCGAGCCAAGATTCGTATAAAATTGACAAGTCGTAAGAAACATAAAAGATCCGGGAACGATAAGCGCATTTCAAACCGTATTATTGAAACACCTCAGTGAACACATCAGTCAATGACATCTCTGGAAAGGCTAAAGAATACTGGTATCAACTAAAGACATGTCTATAAAAGTTAGCTACTTCCATACTAGAGTATACTAGTAAGGAAATACGCTAGTTGGGTGTCGGAAGCAAGTGTCCAACTGTCTGAAAAACGCTGCCAAAGCCTGAATATCAGGAGATCCTGACTATCGGATGCTTCGAAGAATTACAACGACAGCAGCACGGCGAGTCAGAAATTGCTATCGGAACAATATGGCCTTAAGAATGGAGACGGCGGCTGAGATAGGTGATAATAGGAAATTGTTTCGCCTTCTCCGCAAAGCAACTATAAATCGAGAAGAGGTCAGTGAAATGGTACGGGATATTAATGGGGTTTCTATTAAAGATGTCAAAAATCGCCTCAGAAGATGGAAAAAATTTTTTGAGGCCAAACTTAACCACGACGCACCATCTATTGTCCCGAATATAACTGATTTGCCCGTCGAGCCTTACGTTTGAAATTGTGAGCCGCCAACAGAAAAGGAAATACTCTCCGTAATCCATAAGCTTAAGGCTAATAAAACTCCCGGAGAAGATGGCCTTCGGGCTGAACTCTTCAAATGTTGTCCATCATCGTTCATAGCTTACCTTCAACAAATGTATTCTCTGGTATGACAAAATGAAATAATACCAGAAGACTGGAGCAAAGCAATATTGCTTCCTATTCTTAAGAAAGATGATAGGACGTAGTGCGAAAATTACCGAGGAATCAGCCTACTGGACATCTCCAGAAAAATTTTCGCTTCCCTTCTGCTAAATAGACTTATGGCAACGCGAGATAACAAAATGCATCCTAGCGAAGCTGGATTCAGACTGGGACGCGGTTATGCTGACCAGATATTTACGCCAAGAAGGGTAGTACTTAAATACCAACAACCCACCGTCACTTGTTTTATCGATTTTGCAGCTCCTTTTGATTCAATTGATAGAGCAGCATTCTGGAAAGTGGTAGAATGTGACGGTGTCCCAGAAAAGGTCATTCGGCTCATAAAGGCATTTTATCAGTATACTCTGGCGCAAGTCTGTGTATATGAGGAGCTGATAGACTCCTTCGAAATAAAAAGTGGTATCCGTCAGGGCTGAGTCCTTTCCCCCACAGTATTCAACTATGCGATAGATTGGATAATGCGCATCGCTTGTCGGCACTCAAGAGGTGTGCAAATCAGCCCAGAACATAGCAACACAGACCTAGAATACGCTGATGATGTAGCCCTTTTTGCTGACGGTTATGAGGAAATGCAAATAATGTGTCAATGTGTCAAAGCGAACTGCAGCGAACTCGAACTCAAACGGAAATATTTTCGTTTTATATACAAGATGCTGATAAAATACCTATTTTTATCAATTCATTGTCGATGTTGTACTTTAAATACCTTGGATTCACCCCAATCCCAAATGACCAGGCAAAGGATGAAATCATAATCCAGATAACGGCAGCATTATATTTTTCCGGTTGATGAAACTTTTATGGAACCGTCGCGAAATCACCATAAAGACGAAAATCTGTGTCCATATAGCTGCAATTTGCTCGGTCTTACTATATGGCTACGAAACTTGACCAATGAGAGTGGAAGATATTAAGAAGCTATTAGTCTTTGACCACACATGTCTAAGGTACATTCTACGATCAGGAAAAATTTTGAACGTATAGGAGGACCAGCGATATATGGATTTAGACGATGGAAAAGGGAATGACTTCTATTACTACTAGCAATAGACCGAGCAGCTTGGCGACGGCTTGGTCTTATCCTTGTAGCCAGTGGAGCTAGCTTAACCAATAATGATGAGAGCTGTTAGAAGAAGAAAAAGACCCGTAAAATGTACCTTAGACAAGAGTGGTCAAAGGCAGATAACTTCTTAATATCCTCCACTCTCACTGGCCATGTCTTAGAGCCATATAGCAAGATCGAACGAATCACGACTATATAGATGCGAACTTTCGTTTTTATGGTGATTTCACGACTCCCTAAAGGTTCCATCAACCAGAAGAACCCATTTCTAGCTGCAGTGATTCGGGTTATAAAATCGTCTTTTGCCTGGCCGTTTGGTATTAGAGTGAATCCAAAGTATTTAAGATCGAGCACTTCCTCAACCGGCAATGAATTTATAAAAAGAGGCTCTTAAGACAAAAACACATTGATCCTGAGTCCGATTATCGTTACAGTTATTCGTGCTTTGGCAGCGTTTTCAAACAGTTGGACAGTTGCTTCCGATATCCATGTGGCACTTCCTACTAGAACGTGGAAGCGTAAACTGATTTTTGGTGAAATTCCTTTAGTTTAGACCAAAATTATTATTGATAATTATTATTTAAGTTATTGATATTTATTCATCGAGTTGCTTCAATAATTCGGTTTGAAATGCTCTCATTGCTCTCGAATTTTTTAGTTTGTGATAATTGAAAGATCTGGGAGAATGCTATTTTTTGCGATTTGTCAATTTTATGCGGATTTTGGCTCGGATCATAACGTGGTCAGATCCATGATGACTGTCCATTTCAATGTCACGATAGGAACGGCTATCTAGTACGGAACTCTTCTAACTGCGACTGAGATATAACCAATCTGGTTGAAGTGTTGGTTATCCGAGGAGTTCCACGTGGCTAGATGTTTTTTACGATGCCGGAAGCAAGTATTAGCAACAAAAAATTCATACTCTTCGGCATAACGAAGGCGTTCACCATTGGCGCATCGGTCTCCGATGCCATATTTGCCAATTGTCAAGATCATTGCAGCGACATTATGACCTACGTGCACATTCCAGTCTCTCCCGATTAAGACCATGTTATGAGATTTTGTTAGCAGTTGAAGTTCGGAATAGGACTTATCTTTATCACGACTTATCTGCCGACAAAGTTGATGCATAGTCACTGATGACCGAGACATTGCAGAACACACCTTTAAATATATATATATATATATCGGGAATAGACCATACGGTCACTTACCGATTTAAAGCGAAATGGGTATCATTAGGCAATCGCTTCGCCGTTTCATTTCGCCGGAGTTATCTGAAGCACCACAGTCCATACTCCTGCTACGAGCCAGGATTAGTAATTACTCGAGGCCCAAGCTGAAGAAGATGGGTCTCCGATAAGCAGACGATATCCACACGATATTTAGGAAGGGTGTGGAGGATATGGTCGCTTGGCTTGCAATGTCCATAAGCTTTCTGATGTTGATACGGCTAATTCCTCGCCGCACGTGATAGGTTATTCCTCTTGATAGGTTTCAAGCAATTAACTTGGTTTGCGAGTACTTATCAGCTTTTACTTATCAGCTTTATACCTGGATTGTATACTTATGTACCAACGGGCTGGGACTATCATGCGCGTCGGAGGATGCAAATGCTATTTCAAGAATATCTAACCCTTTCACCATGGAGTCACTTTGGGATAGAGATGATAGAGTTACAAGTGGTTCCCCAGCAACCACCCGGATTTTTGACATAATAGGTTGTCAAAATGAACTGAGCTGTCAACTCCTGTCAAAAGGATATGATTATTTTATATTATTTTACATATATACATATATATATATATATATATTTATTTCAATTCTTTATTTTTAAATTTAAAAAAAATCTTAGTTCGCAGTTTAGAGAAATTCTTACAATTTATAATATTCCGAAAAAAAGCGTTAAAATAAATAATATAAGCGTTAAATAGAAATACAATCGCTCAAGGTTGGAAAATTTTGAAATTTTTCAAAATGAAATGAATTAGAGAAACCCTCGTAAATAGCTGTGATTTTCGACAGATTTATATAGCAAAGTTCGACTACTTTTATGGATCAAAAATTTAGATCAATTTACATAATTCTTGGAATAATTCTCTTTAATTTTTAGGTGCACAAACATATTTTAAGACTCGAACAATCTCTTTTATATATTTTTATATATTGAATACTTTTTTCATTCGTTTTTTTTATTAATTAATAAGGTAAACCAACACACGAAAAGAATTTTCCGCACTTCCACTTCCAATATCAATTTTACATTGTTGAAAATGTCTAAAATTTTAAATTTTTTAAAATATCTATCATATAATATTTGTTGGTGCTTTATTAAATTTTTTTGCATTGTTTATTTTCATAACAATCGCTGAATTGTTAGCAAAAATTCCATAAAACTTTTCTTTATTAATTTTTTATTTTTTATACTTTTTTATAGTTCAATTCAAATTTAAGCTTATGTGAAAATTGCAAAAATTCTTTCAGAAAGCCTCAACAACTTTATCCAATTTCGAATTTTCCTTTAATTAATAATATAAATTCCATAGTGAACGAAACATTTTGCCAACTAATATTATGATAATGCTTTAACAATAATAAACTGAAAATAAATTCCATGTGCTCGAGATCCATTTGCACTTCTGTCCACAAGTGAGTCGCTCTTAAAGCGAGCAAAAGTGGAAAAATTAAACCAAAAATGATAAATGCTGTTTGAAAAAGTGGGTGAAATATAATAATTTGCATTTAAATAAATTTGCTGTTTTGTAAATAAGACGAAAGTCTTTTCCTCTTACACATACAAGAAGCTGATAAAATGCCTCTTTTTATAAACTCATAGCCTGATTTTAAATACCTTGGATCCGTTATAATACCAGTAAAAAGATGAAATTAAAACCTGATTACGGCAGTTAGAGATACGTTTTTCCGGATGACGAAACTTTTATGGAGTCGTCGCGAAGTTATTATAGAAACGAAAGAATACGTCTATATAGCTGTGATTCACTGGATTTTGCTATATGGCTACGAGATATGACCAATGAGAATGAAGAATAAGGATATTAAGACATTATCTACCTTTAACCACTCATGTCTAAGGTATATTTTATGGGTTCGCCCAGTGAACAAAATCTTACATGATCGCATACACGTTCGTTCAAACTCCATAAGTGTTCTGATTCTGATGTTTCATACTTCTACGGCTAGCACATCTCTATGCGTAGTTAGTTTTCGAGAGATGGCCCTGGCCTGCGAGCATATTTTATTTATAAGCCTCGGGATCGTTTTACGCTCGGATTATTTACTTATCGCATATAGCACCAGAGGCATATAGCATGAACGTCGGGGAATATGCACCATCGTAATGTCAAGAACATCTATCTCTTTCACCATAGAGTCATTTGGGCGATAAAGCCAGGGGTGAGTCCCGAGCATCCACTCGGATTTTTGATATGATAGGTTTACTCTTGTCGAATACAAGAATCCTTAAAACCCGAGCTAGAACGAGTTGCAATCATATCATCGGAAAATTCACGATGAATATTTTCATCAAACGTTAGATTGCACGCTTTTTACAGTGGAAATCACGATTTTTTCCTTTCTTAAAATATATTTTTATTGCAGTTTTTCAACTATTTCTGTTTTAAAGTGAATAATCGTTGGAAATATCGATAGATTTTTCTAGTTATTTCGATGTCGTTTATCCAGTTTTATTTCGAGATTGATTCTCATTTTATCTATGACGAATCATCTAAAACGGCGGTGGCATTAAATTAGAACTGGAAATTAGTTGTATTTCCGATAGTTCCGCTATATTCTTCTCTATAATTAATTGATTCATTGGCCAAAAACTGCATGGTCCATATATATTATCTGAAGATATATATTTCCTTACGGTGAATAATGCTTTATATTTCAGCATTTGAAGCACAATTTTCAATATCCTATTTTATTCGCTACATTCTTTTTCGGTGTTCATAAATTTTTTCCATTATACGACAGAATTATTCTGGAATATCTTCTAAAGGTAATATTAAAAAATCACGTTAAATCTAAAAGATTTTTCATTCAAAGCCAAAATAGATATGGCCATAGGCATGAGCTTGAACGAATTTATTGAAGGATTCTCCACAGACAAGGGCGAATTAAAAATTAAACATTTTAGTTCTGATAACACAAATTTTTCATTTTCTTTCTATTTTAAATATTCTTTTTAATTCAAGCATCCAATTTTTTAATTAAACTAGAAACATTTTTTGCGTTAACAATCTTCATTAGCAATCGAGCAACACTAATTTTAACTGGTCCCATTTCTTCCAATTTTAAATAACCGAACGCTTTATGCTAATGAAAATTGCATTTTTTGGAAGAATTCGCGGGCATTTTTTCGGCTAATCTTCTGAGTATGAATGTTATAATTGAATAAATATGAAATGTATGGTAAGAATTAATTTCAATTTTGGGAAGATTTTCTGAAACTTATTTCATTCTTTGTAAGTAATTCTGATTGAAATCAGTTCTGATTTACAGATAAAATCAGTTCTGATTTACTGAATGTTATCTATATAGGGTGATAAAGATGAAATCACTGAATGAAATTTCTAAAAAAATTTTAATTCTTGGAACAACGCAGAGTTCATCCGTAATCTTAATTATAATCCAGGAACCTTCCCACAGTAGATTAAACGATAGATAAAATTTTAAGATAACAAGACATTTTTCTTGTTATATGGTCGTATATTCAGAAAAATGCCATTGATGCTTTTGGATTCAATAGTTATCGAAAAAATATTTTCAAGTTCATTTTGTTGGCTACTATGGTGATAACTTACGAGAGAAATGATGCGAGAATTAGTCAGTTTAGGATAAGAGATAGCTGCTATTTGTTTCGAAACGCCAAATGAAATGCCAATGAAACGCCATTTGCGATCCTAATACTCGGATGCTATCCATACCAATATAAATTCCTAATACAACAGCCATTAAAAAGCAATAATCTGCGTAATTCAGAAGCCCAAAACTAATAAGGCTTTTAAAGAGAATGGTCTCTGTGTTAAACTTTTCCAGTGTTCCTCAGCGCCTTCCTTCAGAAGATTTGACCATCATTGATATAGGATAACGAACCATGAAAAAAACACAAAGCATGTTAGGACAAAATTTTTATACCATCAATTGCCAATTAAATAAATTTAACTTAATCAATAGGAGAAATAAATTTTCATTCCATCGCTTATTTCAATAATTTTAGCGCGATTAGAGTTGGAGAATTATAAATTACATCCAATAATATAAAGATGACTGATGTTGGATATTCGACCACTTTTGATCCAAATTTAAGCAAAACTTCTGCAAATATTTATTTTTGTTCCCGAAAGATTAACATTTTGGTATTATTTTTTACATTCTTGTACCTTCATTGTTCTGCAAAATTTGAAAATCATCATTTTTTAACATTAACATCATACATAAATTAATCATATTTGAATTTGAAATTAATCAATCAATTAATCATATTACATTAATCATATTTTGCTATAGAATTTATGGAATTTCTATTCATTTGCTAGAAAGAATTCATCCAGAAATAAAGATTTGAGGGTAAAAAACGGAAATTAAGAAATTTTCATTTAAGAGTTGTTTGGTGTTTACGTTAATCGTTGGCATAATTGCTATATTCGTTCTCGTAGTCCTACAAATTATTTATTTCCGACGATCAATTTTTATTATTGCGATACCGGTTATGATTGTCTTAACAACAGCGTTCAGTATAATCGAGCGAAGATATATCTTTATGTGGCCGATTATTGCATTTTCTGTTAGTTGAATTAAAAAAATAATAAAATATTGAGAAAAATTTAAAGGAATATAATGTAAGGAATATAGGAATATAAAGGAATAAGAATATAGATTTACTTTGACCCAATGGTTTTTTATGTGCATAAAAGTCGAAACGGCAGCAATTCGACCGTAAATGAAAATTGATAAATAAAGACTAGACCGGACCTAATTTAGACTAATTTAATGGTTAAATAATTTCTGTCCGCTTACGGAAACAAATCTTAAAATTGAAAATTGGGCAGTGTAAAAAATAGATCTTCATTTACTTCCATCTTAAATGATCTTTGCCGGAGAGAACTAGTTCCAGAAAAAAAGAAAGGCTGCAAGTGAAAGCAAAATTAGGAAGAAGATTGCCGAATAAAATTTATTTTATTTATTATTATGATATAGTTTCGAAATTAACAATGGTCGATTAAAGATTAAAGATAAAGATTAATGAACAGATGATGGGATAATCTAGGAGAGTACTTATGCATAGTTTTTAATTTTATGGAATAATCTCTTTAAAATTTAAACCCTAAAAGTAGTTTTGACTATGGCCTGAATATTTAGAAGAAATTCGATGAAAAAAAAGGCTATAGAAAATGGGATACGTAGTATATGGCCAGGAATGCTCTATTGCGTATGGCAAAAAATCTATTTTGTAATTCCATGTATAACTCGAAATTTTCATCAGTTAAGAGGTAAAAGTAAAATCTGGATGGCAGTAAAATCTCTTTAAGAGATTGGAAAACTGACAAGAAAATTTTTGATTTTTGGATCAACAGTTATCTATTATTTTTTATATAATAAAGATAAAATACATCAATATTTAATAAAAAAATATATCAAAAAATTTTCAGTGTTTTCATATTATATTGTCGCTTTATTTCCTGCTAATATTTTCTTATTTCTACTTCTTCAAGCCTTTATATATCATTATGGTACTAAACTGGGTCTTCGACAGTAAGTCATTTTTTCTCTATGAACCAACCAGTGGACCCTTGGTATTTTTGGCTCCAAATAAAGCTTTATATCAGAAGTTTATAACCACAAGTAACTCGTGAAAACTTGGTCCAGTAAAATTATTGCTTCTATAAAAATTTCATAGAATAAATTTTCAGCTTTCCATACAACAAAGACAACTTCATATTATGTGCATTGCTTTGTGATTTCAATGAGTACCATAAGTTTTGGTTTATTCAATTTATGGCAACTATGGATTTCACAAAATTTTCAAAATTATGTACGTCTTCATTTCGAGCTTCGAAATTTATCAACCGACATCACTAACGAAAAATCGATCAAGAATGCTAATCTAGTTGTATAAAAAAAATTATCTATGGAGTATCGATCTACAAAGATAATATATATAATTTGGTTTCTAATTTTGACATTAAATCCACTTCACAAAAGCTCAATTTAGCAGTGATTATGAATAGTCAGAACCACTCCGCATGTATCTTTATCACAGCTTTATCTACAGCTTTGTCATTCAACTTCCTCCTTCAAAATTCTCGATAGTTAGTGAAGTCATTCGACCACAGTTCATTTATGAAAAAAATAAATACAGTTTGGACTGCCAGTTTTCAAGATCGTAATTGCAATAATTAAATATATATCCATACATAGTCCAATAATCTATAGTAAACCATTGTAGAATATGTGGTGATTCCACAGCTCAAAGTCCCCGTGTATTTATTCAAATTCTTGGTTGTAAGCATATCTTCTCTAACCAAATCTCTCCTTGTGAAACTGCAGAAACGTCTGAATAAATAATCTTTCGATAAGTACAAGGCAATCTTATCCTTTTTTCAGATTTTGAACACATGATTTATTTAAGCCCTTCCTCCAATGCCTATAAACCTCTCTAATAAAACTAATTCCAATCTTCGCAGCTACAACGCTTTCTGCCACTTACCTATCCACTGCATTCGTTTCAACTTTTGTGAGCCTTCTCGAATGATAAAATTGGCTTCTTTTCATTCGCTTCGAAGTATTCAATACATCCTATCATTTTTTCGACAAAAGCACCACTGGGACTAATGAATCGTATTATTTTGCAATAGGTTTTTAAAGCATGCATTATATTGCGTTCATCACATAGTGATTTTAGTGATTTTATTAAATAAGTTATTGACCCTTCCAAAATTTTCAATCAAAGACCAACTGTGGATTAAAATCGTCTATAACTTTAAAATTAGATTTTTAAAAGTGAATGCTACTATATTGAAAACCAGCCAAGCAGGGCGCAAACGCCAAGTGCTTTTAATCGAATTGTATTAATAACAACAGTAAAAATAATAAGAAATAATGACAAAAACAAAAAAAATAAAGTTAACAATTTAAAGATGAAATAAAGAGGAAATTACTAAATAATATAATATATACAATTCGATTCGTACAATTCAAAATAATTATAATCGGATGGTAAAAACGAAATTTCATACTTCCTGCATGGTGCGAATTTTTAAAATAATATCATAAATGATATTATCTAATTTTTTTTTAAAGATTGCAAAGAATGACATATAAACTATATTGTTCATTAATTTATTCCAGTAATTAATAGTATGAATAAAGAAGTCATGAGTCCTTAGTTTAGTTTTACGTATAGATTCTAGTAATTTTAGCCCATTAGTTCTTGTTGGATTCAAATTTAGACTAAAATTATAATATTTTGAACAATCTAGTTTATTATAACCATACAGAATCTTATAAGTGTAAATTAAATCTTGTTTAATTCGACGAATTAAAAGAGAATTCAGGTTATATTGTAGAATTTTTTTTTGTAATTAAAATTACTATTAAAGGAGAGGCGTCTCATAAAATATTTTTGGAGTTCTTCAATTATTTTACTTGATTTACGATATCTCGGAGAGTGACAGGTAGTATTGTAGTCAAGAAGAGGCCGAACGAAAGCTTTATACATTTTGATAAGAAAATCTTCAGTTTTATTATTAAGAGAACGAAAAATAAAATTTATTATCTTTTAGGATTTCTTTACCATAGTTCTGTAGCGAAGGTCGAAATCGAGATTTTCATCCATAATTATTCCAAGATCGGAAATGTGTGAGACTCTGCTGATTATATTGCCATTAATAATAAGGTTAGGAAAATGGAAACTTTTAGAATTGATATAAAGAAGGCTATATTTTTGAAAGGAAAGGGTAATTTGCCTATCATATAACCAGTTGGCTATTCTGCTATGGTCTTTCAGCAGTGGAGATAGACTACCTGTTCTACCATGAGAATAATAAATTTTACAATCATCAGCATAAAGATAAATAGTAGAATTTAATACCACATTAGTGATGTCATTTATTTACAATAGAAAAAGCAATGGTGCACAACTGCTTTGGGGAACAGTAGATTTAACAGGTGTTGCGTCAAAGAGAATGTTATAGTGTTATTGACGCGTACGGCTTCGTGACAATCTTTTGTGTAATCTGATACCCAGTTATAAAGGGCCCCTGTAATGCCATAGCTATTAGGAGTGATTACTAATTTGCTATAGGAAATGGTATCAAAAGCTTTAACCAAATTTAAGTACACATCTGACATCTTTTTATGCTGACCAATCTGAAAGATTTGCCAATATTTGTGAAGAAGTAGATTTTTTTTATACAAAAGCCATGCTGATAGGAGGAGGTATCAAGATAAGTAAGCAATTTGTTGCAAATCAACCTTTCGAGTACATTACTATAAGCGCATGTTAGGCTAATAGGTTTGTAATTGGAAAGTCCATAGGTGCTTCTTTTTTTATGAATGGGAATTATATGAGACAATTTTCAATTTCCAAATTTTGGGGTTTAAAGCCATATTTCATAATATCCTTGTAAATTAAAAATAGAAAACTCAGACTGCACATTTTTCACAAATTATTTGTGGAATATTATCGAAACCAGCTGAAATGGACGGCTTAAGGCTTAAGGCTTCATAAACATCCAGTAGCTTTATTTCAACCTCACAGAGAGAAGTGTAACAAATTCGATTTACATTAAAACAAGAAGTATGAATAATATCGTCAACATATACACTAAAAAAATATTGATTAAATATACTTGCAATATCAGAGGTGATCACTTTATCATTATGTTGCAGAACTAATTGTTTACGTGAATTTGCAAATTTTCTTTTGATGTAGGCCCAGAAAGAACCTCCATTTAAAAATTGCTCTTCTTTATTTGAAAAGTAATTATGAATGGTGCAACGGAAACTTTCTTAAATATTCTTTATATGCAGAGAGGTCATTTGGCAATTTGCTTAATTTTATTTATTATAAAACTTCTTGACACTTTTTTAAAGGGATTTCAAAAAAATGAGAACCAGCTTAATGTTTTCTTGCTTAAAGGGATATATTACTCTATAAGGTATAAAATGATGCTATTAAGAAAATTAACTTTTTCATCAATAGAGGGAATTAAACAGAATAAGAAATCCCAAATTACTTCTGCGATTTCATAATTACGGTGACGGTAATTTCTAGAATATCTCGAGGGAGGTACATAATGGTTTAATTTTAATGAAGTATAAATGATATTGTGATCACTATTACAAAAAGATTCCAGGACTCTAATGCTATCAAAAAAAAAATAGAAGTAGCATAACATCTAAAATAGTGTTATACCCGACCTTAACATGTTGCTCTAGACCTATATAGTACAAAGGTTTAGAAAGTCTCTTCAAATTTGCTATTTTTCAAGCGACTATTTTCTCAATCTATATTTGGCATATTAAGATCACCAACAATAAAATAAACGGCACCAAATAATTTTAATCTAAATAACACGCTGCAAAGATCCCTAATGAAAATATTGAAAACCTTCCATAGCCAAGTGGGCGGCATATATTTAGAAAGAAAATGCTATTATTAAGATAAATTTTAGTTATTAGAGATTTAAAAGATGAATAGAAAATCATCAAAAGTTACAAATTTATAACCGGGAATAAGCATGATAAGCACCTCCACGAGTATTTAAACTATTTATTGTTCTATCATTGCGTGATAGAAAGCCATCGAAATTTAATTCACGACTATCAGTAGAGTCATTAACCACATTTCATTAATACAAAAATACTATTTGGGTTATCAATTAGTAAGAGCTGTAAGTCATAAAGTTTATATTTTAAACTTCTCTCATTAAATATAAAGATGAATTACTTCCTATTTTATTAACCTTACTTAAGAAGCTGTCCTAAGCTGTTGCAGATTGATAGGAGAAAGTTGGAATCGAAAAATTGTTCATCGTTGCAAGCCATTGGTGAGGCTGCCTGAGTTCCACTATTTGAAGATTTGTGACAATATAATTCTTCAGACTGAGATCTCGCATATAATATTCTTTTCGCAACTGTTTAATAGCAATAGTTCTCTTTTCGCTCTTCTCTTTAGATCCTTCCGCAAAAAGCTTTCATGGGGAACAATCGAGCGCATGTTCTTATTACTCAAAAAAAACACATATATATATACTTATCTTCAAATCGAATCTTAAGTACTAGTGGCCTGCCCGACCCCCTCCTTCCATGTCGACGAACTTCCTTAATATAGTCAATCTGGATTCCAGCGGCAGCTACAGCTACAATATTCTCCACTAGGAATCTGCCAGCAGTAGCAGTCTCATCATCAATGCTAGAGAAAAGGAAATAATATCCGAAGTCGGTGTGAAGGTGAAAAGTTAAAATATGGATTAACAAACATTTGAGATCAAGAAATAAAAAATGAAAAATATATTTTAGAAAAGCAAAATGGAGAATAACCACTCGAAACAAAAATCATATAACGAAATTTTCCGCTTTTTTTTTTTATAAATATTAGTAACGCTGATAATAAAATGATTGTTAAATATTATGAATTTGAACATCTAAATAAATTATGAATCTAAAAAATTATATGCCAAAAAACGATAAAATTATATGCAAAACGATAAAATGATATACATCTAAGATTATCTGAAATTCCAGATTAAATAAAAAAAATACAAACAAACAAAATAACAATATAGGAATGAAAACAAACAAAAACATCAAAATATTTTGAATCAAAAATACATCAAATGAAAAATATAAAATAAATATAAAAAAATATAAAATGTTTCAAAAAAATAAAAATAAAATGCGTATCATATCAATTTTTCAGATAATTCATAATTCATTTTTCAAACGGAAATATTCTTGTGTAATCTTTAAAATATCTCCTCTGATCGTCGCAATTTCACAAATGAGTTGAATCGAAGAATCGATATATTTACGAGCAGTTTTTATGCAAAATGGTTCAAGTATACCAAAAGGTCGAAAAGCAAAACTGGACGAATGTTTTTCAAATGAATTTGCTTCCTCCATAGATTCACTCTTTACCATCTTATAAAAAAGCCGACTGGTCGAATTCAATTGGTTAAAAGAATTCTCAAAATGATAAGTACCATTGTCGATTATTATAATCCTGAAAATATTCCACTGAATAATAAAATAAAGAAAATGGATAATGAAGGTGTTTGCTCCATTGAAGTTTAATAAACAGGTTTAATCAGTTTAATAAACTTATTAATAATAATAAGTTGAATAGACAAGATTTGCGATATATTCACTGTCTGAGATATTTATAATATTTAACCAACTATCTTCAAAATGATTAAAACATAAAACATTCCAAACAGAAGATAAAGAATAAAATAAAAGAAAAAACACGAACTTTACAACAGGTTTCATTTCTTGATTAAAATAACCAGATTCGACAGATAATTTCCCAGTGATCGTCCTGAAATAAATCCATAATTTAAAAGACAAAATTAACCAACTCAACAAGGAATAATATATATGCAACAAAGTAGGGAAAACGATGCTCCAGAAAAAAAAATTCACCAAAACACAACCTTGCTTTGGCGAGATTGATTCGAAATTCATCGAGATTATTTTCAAGTTGTTTATTAATGGAAATAAAATCGGATAATAACTTCAGCTTTATTAACGCCAATTTATTCAATTCTTTCTCAACATCTAATATCATTTTTTTTTATCTCTAAGAAGGGCTAAAATAAAATTGAAATTATAATTTATTTTGCGCATCAAATCATTGAAAAATATATTTTAAAAAAACCTTGAGCTAGACTATAAATTAACCCATATTCAAAGCAATAACAAATAAGTATTTTATTTCTTAACGATTATTTGAACAAAACCAAAAGCGTAAACGAACAAAGGTAAAAATAAACATCACAGATTAAATTAATATGAATAAATAAGCAATAAAAATTGTTTAACTAAACAATAAAAACAGTGGAAAATTTGAAAGCAGCAAAAATGAGATCGGAGCATCAGATTAGTTTAATGGAGACAAAAAAAATTCAATTAATGACAGACAACGATAATAAATTTTATCTAAAAGAGATAGATCGAAATAAGAATCCCGGTAATTTTGATCACCATATTATTTAAGTCAAATATATATTTACAAAATAGCGAAAAATCGAAAGCAAAAGAAGGAAAGATAGCAAGGTAGGAAAAATAGTACCGTGCATTTGTACCTGCCACAACTCAAATAATATATAAGATTAATACAGATTAATCGACTGAATATACTTTTCTCAATTGGCTAAAAAATGAATATGGCCGGATTACTGCTGCAAGAAGTCCTTTTCCAATTTTTATATTCGCATTATGGCCATAATCGATTCGATCACCACTTAAATCCATAAGACTTCCACCTATTGCTGCAAGGATTGCATCACCCGCACATATATCCCACTTTTTTATATTTGTATTATGCAAATATAATTCTGCAAATAAAGAATGGTACGAGTTTTTTGCAAGAAAGTAACTTAAAAAATGATTCAAAGCATAAAAATATATTTTATTGTATATTTAAAAATAAAGGCGACTTACGTGCAGTTCCATTTAGCAATCTTAAAACTTTATAGCCAGAACCTCCAGCAGGTTCCACTTCAAAATCGGAGCCAAAGGCTTTTTTCGCCAAATCTTTAATACTACCAGCATGAGATCTAAAATTTGTAGTTAAATTTAGATAACTAAAAAATAGATAATATACAAAGGAAGGAAAAGAAACGGATTGAAAAAAATATTACCTCGAAACAACAATTTTTTTAGAAACATTGTAAAAAATGGGTTTAACTTTGTTGCCCTTTTCATTATAAACACCATGCCCCACAAGACCAATAACTAGAAATTAAAGAATTGAATAAATTTTTGGAAGTTTTTTTATTTTTCTATGAACAAACCGCTGGTGCTTAAGTTTGCTTTATTAGCTTATTGGAACTGACAAATTTTGCCAATGAGTAATTTTGCGATATAACTGAGCAAGCATCAACTTGCGAAAGTAATGCAACTAAACGCTAGAAAGTCTCTTATTATTCTAGAATGGAATCCTTGACTAAGATCTGCCATTATGCTTTAAAAAAGCAAAACAAAAAAATTGGAGGAAAACCGAAAAAGGAAACAAGAAGAGAAAAAAAAATGCTAATGGAGATAAAAGTCTATTTAAGTCTATTTTAAACTAAAAGCAATAGCCAATAAATTATAGATGATATCTGGATTATTATAACTGTGAAAGTTAAAATCTTACAAGTTTGATTAAAGAAAGGACGATGTATAACTCCGAAAACTGGGCTGCCTTCAGCCACTACACAAAGCATTACTGTAACATACTCGACAAGCCCTTCTAAAAAATAAAAGAAAATTCGAATTAGAATCGAAATCTAAATGAAAATTTTAAACAAAATGTTTAAATTTTTATGAAGGAAATTATATTATAAATGAAATCTTAAAAAATTTTATTAAACAATCAAATTTAAAAATTTAATTTGTAAATTAACAATCAAAAAAAAATTTACAAATAAATGATTGTAATGATTACCTGTATATTCTTGAGTAGCATCCAATGGATCCAACCATATTTCAAGATCGGAAATATTATACTTACGAGGAGGTAATTTGTCAATTAAATTCTGAATTTTGTTATATGATTCGTATCGATTTAATTCATATTTAAGCATATCCACACTGATTTTTCCATTTTTTTCTTCCGATATTACCTTATAAAGAGAAACTAAAGATCTAAAAGCAATTCCAAATTAAAAAATAATTTTCTATTGACTATTAAGTTGACCATAAAATTAACAAATAAAAAGATGCAGCGAACAGAAACTTTTCAATATTGTAAAAGGGAGTACTAAAGGAATACTGTGAAAAAGAATATTAAAATTAAAGAAATAGAAGTGGAATCAATAGACCCATCAAAGACGAATGCCACAAAAAATAATTCTTCCATACCTTTCGTATTCCACTTCTTAACCCTCAATTCTCGTCAAAGAGTAGAAAAACTTTCCTAATTTAGTTCATTTATATGAAAATTTTCTTCAATTTACTACAATTATGAATACTTGAAAAAAATACATCTAAATTTGGAAATGAGCTAAAAATCTTAAAACCTTGAGAATAAAATAAAAAATGAAAACAATTAAAAATAATTAATTCAAAAGTGGATATACCTTTACACCTAACCTTTCCAGCATTTTCAAAATTATAAAATTGGAAGTTAGATCGGCTCTTGTTAATAATTCGTCTTTTCCTTCATCAGTTTTTGATTTCCGAACAATTTCAAGTGAATTTTCTTCAAATATCTCGATGATGGCATGACCTCCTGCTTGTACGGCCAAAATTGCATAACTAAATCATATTAATACAAAAATCTAAAGGTTAATATTACAATTTTAAAAAAAATGAAAAAAAGCTAAATTTCCTCAAAATTCAAATAAATAAAGAGAAATTAATGACTAAATTAAATTAATTTAGCTTCTTCTTCTAACTCTCATCATTGCTGGCTAAGCTGGCTACATTGGCCACAAGGTAAGACGTTTCCAAGCTCAAGAGAGATCTGGTGCTATCGTCGACAGTAAAAGAGGCCATTCCTTTTTTCATCGTCTAAGTCCATATATTGCTGGTCCCACCTACACTTTCAAAATCTTTCCTGATCGTGTCAGTCCAGGTCTTGATTGGTCTACCTCGCTTTTGACGCCATCCATCATATGCTTTAACAAGTAATGAAATATGTGTCAACTTTTATGATGGGAAACGAAGAGCGGTAAGCAGTGCCCTAACCAGCTAAGTCGACCCTCTATGATGGTACTGTTAATGCAAATAGTGTTTGAGCAAAGGTGGATGCGATAATGTGAAGTTTATTCACTCGGTGAACCCGCAAAATGTAACTTGGATATGAGTGATGAAAGATAATATCCTTCATTTACATCAGCAATGTCTGGCAGCCACATAGCAAGATCGAATTAAATAAACATGTTCCTTCGTTTCTATAATGACTTCGCGACGATTCCAAAAAGGTTTCATCAACCGAAATAAAGCATTTCTAGCTGCAGTTATCCGGGTAGCAATTTCGTCTTTTCCTGGCCATTCGGTATTAGAGTGTATTTAAAATCGGCTATTTCCTCAATCGACAATGAATTTATAAAAATAGATATTTTATCAGCTTCTTATCAGTAAGACGAAAAGACTTTAGTTTCATCTATATTAACCCTAAGTTCGATTCTCGCTGCAGTTATTGACATGTTGCTTAACATTATTTGCGTCATAACTATCAGCAAAAAGGACTATAACATCAGCTATTCAAGATCTATGAAACGATGCTCTGAAATGATTAGTAATTATGTTTTCTTTTTCAAGAGTCCTCACCATTACTAGTTAAGTTCGTTTCGCTGGCTCGCTACGGTGAAAGAATATTCCATGTAGTCCACTGATAGATAAAAGATGTGAATCACCAGCGCCCTTCCAATTTCCTGACAATTTTATCCCTACGAACAATAGAACCTCAGCATTGATGCTCACTGTTCAGTATATCGCCCAGTTGAATATTATAGGGGAAGTGGTGCAGCCTTGGAGGACACCAGTTTTTACTTCGAAAGAGTCTGTTAGTTCCCTATATATACAGACGACGTGCGTTAATAAAATGCGTTTATAAGTCGAATAAGCCTTCTCTGAATATCATCGCGTTCTATCACCTTCCAAAGCACTGTGCTACCAATTGATTCGAAGCAGCCACAAAGCCAATGAAATATATAACGGTGGATTGGAGATATTTCGAGAGATGCTAACATTCCTATTAACGTGAATATCTGGTCAGCACAACCACTCCTCCGCCTGAATCTAGCTTGATTAGTGCACAACCCGTATTGTCATAAGTCTGCTGAGTAAAAGGAAAGCAAAAGGAAAGAAAGCATTTTCTGAGACTCTAGTAGGCTGAATCCTCCATAAATGTCGCAGTATGTCTCATCAGCTCTCTTGGGAAATGTGAATTGCTTTGCTCTAATCATCTGGCAATTTCTTTCTTCCGTACCAAAAATGAATTTGTTATGCGTTATGAAGAACGATAGACAACATTTGAAGATTTCAGCCCACGAGTTCATTCATTTTCTGCTGGTGGTTCGCAATTGCAAACGTTCGAATTCGAACGTAACAACTATGTCCGGATCAAAGATGGCGCATCATGGTTAGCCTCAAAGAATTCCTTCCATATTTTGAGGAGACTTAATACTCTTAAGAGGCAACCACTGCTATTCCTTACCATTTCATTAATCGTTCCTCGAATCATAATAGTAGAAGACGGAATAGCCTCCATCAGTGCAATTGCCGCAACACCCAACTACCACTTCCCTACTAGTATGTTTTACCGTGGAAGTGGCTGACATTTGGAGATATTCCTTTAGTTTAGACCAGTATTCATTTACCATTCCAGAAAAGTTATTGATATTTATACTCTCAATAATTCGGTTTGAAATGCGTTTACACTTCTTAGTTTGAGATAGTTGAAAGATGCTGTTTCTTGCGAATTAATTTTATGCGGATCTTGACCATAACATGATCCATGAAGTTTCAGCGATACGATAGGAGCTATCAAATACAGAACTCTTCCAATGGCAATGGCATCTGATTAAGATATAATCAATCTGGCTGAAGTGTTGGTTATCCGGGGAGTTCCACGCGTTGTTTTCTACTATGTCGAAAGCAAGTATTAGTAACAAAAAATTTATGCTCTTCTTCCTTCGGCAAAGCGGAGAAGGCATTTCTCATTGGCGCACTGGTCTCCAGTACCATATTTTCGAACTGTTGAGGCATCATAGTAGGATCATGACGTACACGCGTATTCCAGCCCCCTTCGATTATAACCACATCATTTATCGGTAGAGATTTTGTTAACAGTTGAAATTCCGCATGTAAACTTATCTTTATCACGGTCATTTGCCGATAAAGTTGGAGCACACTGATGACCGAGATATTGCAGAACTTACGTTTAAAGCGGACATTGGCCATCTGGTCGCTTATTGGTTTTCACTCAATGAAAGCGGAATGGGCCTTTTTAGACACGGCAATCATTACGCTATTTCGACCGAATTATCTGGAGCACAACAGTAATATAGCCAGAACTTTCACTCTGAACCAGGATTAGTAATTATTCGAAGTGAGGAAGATGGACCCTCGACAAGGAGCCGATATCCACACGATTCTAGAAAGATACTAGAAAGAGTGATCGCTTGGCGCTTGTAACCTCCATAAGCATTCTGATGTTCCATGCTTCTACGGCGAAAACCTCGCTGCACGTGCAGACAGACGTTTTCCTTGATAGATTTCGAGCAATCATCCTGATTCGCGAGCATATTTTATTTATGATCCTTGGAATCGTTTTGTACCCGGATTGTGCACTTATTGTATTATCATCGGTCTGGGAATATCATGAGCGTCGGAGAAAGCAGACGCTGTATAAAGAATATCTAACTCTTTCACCATAGAGTTATAGGTGGGTCCATCCTCCAGCAGCCACTCGGATTTTTGATATGGCAAGTTTACTCCTGTCGAAGGCAAACATAGAAGAAAAATAAAAAAAATTAGAAAATTAAAAAAAATCAAATTTGAGGATAGAAAAAGAAAAAAATACCCAAACGAAACAATAATCGATAATCAGTCAATAATATCCAATAATATTAAATAATTAATAATAACAATATAATTAACAATAATAATTAACAATTAATAATTAATGACATCTTCGTAGTTGCTCAATTACTTACAACCGCTCACTAATTACACACAAAGATATGAATTTAGCTAAAATAATAAAAACTAAAACCAAAAAATACCTAGCGATGTCATGAAGTTCGATTCTGACAGGAGTAATCTTCGTTCCCGAAAGCCATATAACAATAATTAAATATGAAAAACAGATAACGAGAAGGAATTTCACGAATCCAACTGGGTTCACCTGCAGCAGCATAATTCTCTATAAATGAGAAAATCCTGAAAAAAAATCAAATTTAGGCAGAGAATTTAATTAAGCTAAGCTTTATAAAAATTATCTTACACGATAGTTCACAGAAATCAATTTAAATACATTAGCTTAAATGAACTTTACAGCATCTTAAATAAACTATAACCTTTAAAAATTATCATAAATCATAACAGAAATAAATTCAATAGAAATAAATCTCGCCAGAAAATGAAGTATGAGATATTTGGACAGAAGGGCGATAAAATGAAGTTTCTTCGATTTTTATTTCTAAATCCATTCAAATTTTATTCCTATTCAAAATAATTTTAAATGAATGATTCTTATCTAATACTCACACGAAGATCTTACGGTAATTTATTAATTACATCAGAATTGCTCTAAAAGATTATAACGGAACATTTTTTTTCCAAATTCCTTACTACCCTAAAGCCATATTTCGATATAGACATAAAGAAGGACCCACGAAGCCACTTGAATTTCACTTCTGATGGCCAATATTTTCTACGGCCTTGAAGATATGAAAGCTTGATTATAGTCGATGCAACACACCACTCGACCATTCTCCGAGCGCAAGATGAAACAAGAAGAGGAGGAAGAGCACGGGAAGGAGCACGGTGCTCATGACAAACTTTCAGAAGTGCCACCGAGAAGTGCCGAAAAAATTTTTAACCGAGTTTACCCGACTGATCGACAACAAAAAATATAGCAAATAATTTGAGCATCTAATAAAATATTTTGGAAGCAAACAATATCGGCGATTTGGATCCTCTAAAAATCGCTATAGAATTTACATTTTCTTCGAAATTTAAGGTAAATTTAAGGCAAAGAGATTAAATTCAAGGAAGCATAGGCTCGACTCCCACTCGACAGCAAATCCGCCACTGACTGAAGCTCGAGTGGTATTGCAGGCCACAAAGCTTCTTTCCCAAACTCTCTCTCTCGTGAAACAATCCGAGCAACTCAGCACAATGAACAAAAAGAAAGTTAGAACTGAAAATTTTTTTCAAAGAAATATTAAACTAGTATTATTAGTCAATATTATAGTATTAATTAGTCAATATTAATATTATAGAAATATTAGTCAAAGGATCCTAAGTTAAAAACCATATTTTAAATCACTTCAATTAATCAATTCCAACTCAAAAGATAAGGCAGAGGGGGGAGGGGATACTTTCAATTTATCTATTCAATACCGTATTCATGCGATCCGTTTAAGACATAGAAATAATTTGACTATTTTCTCTTCCAGCCGGGACCAGCCGAGTCAGAAAAGATGTGAGTCCTTGGCATCGTCCGAATTCCAGGTTAAACGTCACTCTCCTCTATGTAATATGCAGGAAGTGAGTAACAATTGGCCCCAGGCTAAGCAACCTACGATTCAGCCATCCTAAATTTCTTTCTTTCTCGAAACTGAATCCGCTTAAAAATTGATTGTCATCGTAATGATTTTTTAAAAAATATCTCAACTCTTCATTGCCAATCAAACTGCGTTCGATAAAAAATATTTTTATATTAGGGACGATCGATGGTTCAACTGAAATATCACATTCATTCTTCAAGTCAATCCAAAAACAACAAAAAGACGATAAATTTAAATTAAAGATTTATTCGTTATATTCAATAAATTGGACCAAATGTGAGCAATAATAAGCAAAAAAGGCTTTGGAACTACTAAAGATTTCAGCGAGATTAGAGGTCATAGTTCAAGCCTTCGAGCCAAATAACAATTAGTGAATTAACAAAGTGATAAAGAGAAAGTGGACAACGTATTGCTATTATTTATACAACATTATTGTTGAAAAATATATGTGAATAATAAAAACAATTATTTTTTACGAAAAAAGGCATCTATTTTGGAATCTTTTAGGCGATTTTATATAAAAAATTAAAAGATTCGATTAAATGGAAACCATTCATGAGAAAACGAAACCCGTATTTGTTTACAGATTTCACTGAACAACAATTTAATATACAAAATAATAGCTTTCGAGTTAATCGGTTACTTCACAATTACTCTTTGCACTACTTCTGTACAAAGTAGATAAATTTCAATTGCAATTTTTCGGCAGCGGCTTGTTTTTTGTTTGCTATAACAACCTTAAAAGTACCACACGACAAATACCTTTAGCCTCGGGTCCATTATTTGTAAATACAATAGCATTTATACTATTCTTATTATCTGGCATTTTAACCTAATACCGAAATTGAACTGATATCAAAATATCAAAAACTTGCTGCACTTGTAAAAAATTGCAAATGTAAACCGACTCGCGAGATTTAATCGTTTTCAAATTTGTAAAAAGATCGTTTTCCGATTTTGACAGTGATAAAAATAGAACTAAAAAACTAAATAGCAACTGCATGAAGATCAGAGCACCAAATACCATAAAATCCAATATAATCCAAAACGGCCGATGTCGCCCGATAATATTTACATGAAATGTAAATGCGACTTCAACCATAGCGCTCAAAAATGACCCAGCGAATTGCAAGCATCTACGCGGTTGACTTTCGATAAAAAAATGACGGAGAGGGATAGATTTGAAGGAATATATTTTAACCTAGAGCATCGTACAATAGCTTCGAATCCGTTGACGAGCTCGTCTTAACGGTGATATTTTAGTTGAACGCGAACACATATGCTCTCCCGGACTTAAATCTAAAAATTTTTTCACCTTAAGACTTTTGGAAAAGTTAACTTCAATTTCTCAAAATTTCTTTTCTTTTAATATTGGCAGCAGCTTTCGCCCATCATAGGTTCGATTCTCTGGGAGTAAATTTTGAAGGGTGCTATTAAAATTTAATTTAAATGTGTTGCTATTGATCATCCGTACTTCTGAAGAGGCTTAACAGGCAAAGTCATGGATAAGCAAAATGAAGAGTTGAAAAGAATGCGATACCTTGAGTTCGAATTGGTTGAACAGTAGGACGAACACATTCAATAGCATCTTCTTCAATCATAGGAAGATCGGCGACTAAAGAAACAATTGGAATCTCTTCAAGATTCGATGGCTGATAATATAACGATTCGTAGCTTGAATTATCTGAATTTCATGACGAATGACGAAAAGGCTAAATGAAATTAGTGCGCAATCTGATAAAAATCCTATACAAAATGGAAAAAGAAACCTAGTGTATAACGAACTAACCTGAAGAATTTATGTCCATCTTATCCTCCTTAACATACGAATCAGTATTACTGGGCCTGAAACGTCGCTCAGGAATTCGAAAACGCCTCGGAGAACACTGACTTTCCCACATTGTCGCAGATGAGAATTCATATCCTAGTGGTGCATCTGGTTTCAAGAGATTATATCGTAAAGACTTTCCATGTGTCTATAAAACTAAGTTTAACGCAAACGATAAATCATTTTAAAAAAATCGTAAAATGTTAAAGTAAAGGTAAATGTATTTCGAACTGTCATGAAAAAAAAAAAAAAAACAATCCTCTATACTTTAATTATTTTAATGTCGTATAAAGAATGGTTCAGTGGGTTCCTGCTTAAATTCGGTGCTGAAATTCTACTTCCCACAGGAATAAAACTGTATAAAAATCCGGGTGTTGCTCTGGTCGGCGACTTTAACCAATAATGGTGAGGATTTTTAAAAGATATTTAGAATAGATATAACGTAAAAAAGAAAAAAAAACAAGGTCCGGTAAGAGAAAAAATTTGGGAATTAACTGAGTGATTTTAATTATTAACCGATATTTCGTGAGGAATGCTGCAATCAACTGCGTGTCTATCAAGCATTCGGCCATTTTCCTGTGCATATAACGATCTCGCCCTATTCATTTCTTGATATTTTCCGGAACCAATATGTATAGATTCTTCGCTTTTAAGATCACGTTCAGCCATAGAATCAAACGTTGTCCATTGGCTTAGTCTGCTTACACTAACATTTTCAAACGAAGGGCGGTAAGTATCATTTTTGCTCAATTCAAAGTCATAAGTATTCATCACTGCAAAAGAACGGCCATAACTATTATAGCCTGGTTTTGATTGATCAGAGAAATGTTTTCGATAATATTTCGCACCAATGCGAGTTGAAGACCCATTTCTCAAAACGTCTTCACGGAAAGATCTGTGAGTTTTTTCAATTGAAATACGCTTAGAATAAAAAACACTGGTACTTTGGCTGACAGTCGTCCAGTGCAGATTGGAAGTTGGAGAGACATTGCGTTGGACATTATGTCTCACAGATGATATAGGAATACCGCTTTTTGAACAAACGTTAGGTTCTGACAGGGCAACACGCGAACAATCAATTAACAGTGCATCTCCAGATAAAAAGCCAACATTTTCCGAAGCAGCCGCCGTCACGTTCGAGTCAAGAAAGTTGTGACAAAAAAATGAAGGAGACGTATTAGGAACACTTCGTGAAAAAGGAATGGCCTCTGATGAAAATGGCTCATTCGCTGTAACTGAAACATTTAAATCAATTCCCTTGCTCTGTACATCATCCCTCAACTGTTTAGTGCAACTGCATACCGAGAAATCATTAATTGAATTCTGATATTGACTGCTAAATTTCTCAAAAGATCTCAAACAAGACGGAGAAGCAGAATCAATAGCATAATTAAGTGGCTTATCCAACGCTCGTGTCTTAACAGCAAAAAATTCACTTTCCACATCACCAGTTGGTTGAGGCTGTGTTTTTATTGTTGGTGCAATATCATCGGATCGACCACTGTGATACACTGTAACATGT